AGGCAATCTCAACACTGTGTGTTACAGGGAAGACATCCTCCTCCCTCATGTGGTACCCTTCCTGCAGGCTCATCCTGACATGACCCTCCAGCATGACAATGCCACCAGCCATAGTGCTCGTTCTGTGCGTGATTTCCTGCAAGACAGGAATGTCAGTGTTCTGCTATTGCCAGCGAAGAGCCCGGATCTCAATTCCATTCAGTACGTCTGGGACCTGCTGGATCGGAGGGTGAGGGCTAGGGCCATTCTTCCCAGAAATGTCTGGGAACTTGCAGGTGCCTTGGTGGAAGAGTGAGGTAACATCTCACAGCAAGAACTGGCAAACCTGGTGCAGTCCATGAGGAGGAGATGCACTGCAGTACTTAATGCAGCCGGTGGCCCCACCAGATACTGTTACTTTTGATTTTGACCCTCCCTTTGGTTCAGGGACATATTATTCCATTTCTGTTTGTCACGTCTGTGGAACTTGTTCAGTTTATGTCTCAGTTGTTGAATCTTGTTATGTTCATACAAATATTTACACGTTAAGTTTGCTGAAAATAAATGCAGTTGATAGTGAGAGGACGTTTCTTTTTATTTTATTTTAGTCATTTAGCAGACGCTCTTAGTGAGTGCATAAATTTGTTTTATTTTCATACTGGCCCCCCATGGGAATCGAACCCACAACCCTGGCATTGCAAGCGCCATGCTCTACCAACTGAGCTACACTGGACTTTTTTTTGCTGAGTTTAATAACTAAAAAAGTGTTAAACAAATCAAAATATATTTTAAGATTCTTCAAAGTAGCCACCCTTTGCCTTGATGACAGCTTTGCACACTCTTGGCATTCTCTCAACCACCTTCACCTGGAATGCTTTTCCAACAGTCTTGAAGGAGTTCCCACATATGCTGAGCATTTGTTGGCTGCTTTTCCTTCACTCTGCGGTTCGACTCATCCCAAACCATCTCAATTTGGTTGAGATTGGGGGATTGTGGAGGCCAGGTCAACTGATACAGCACTCCATCACTCTCCTTCTTGGTAAAATAGCCCTTACAGAGCATGGAGGTGTGTTGGGTCATTGTCCTGTTGAAAAACAAATGATAGTCCCACTAAGCCCAAACCAGATGGGATGGCGTATCGCTGCAGAATGTTGTGGTATGCTGGTTAAGTGTGCCTTGAATTCTAAATAAAACCACAGACAGTGTCACCAGCAAAGCACCCCCACACCATAACACCTCCTCCTCCATGCTTTACGGTGGGAACTACACATGGGGAGATCATCCGTTCACCCACACCGCGTCTCACAAAGACACGGCTGTTGGAACCAAAAATGTCCAATTTGGACTCCAGACCAAAAGGACACATTTCCACCGGTCTAATGTCCATTGCTCATGTTTCTTGGCCCAAGCAGGTCTCCTTTTTATTGGTGTCCTGATTCACAGTCCCCTCTGAACAATTGATGCTGAGATGTGTCTGTGAATTGGACTCTGAAGCATTTATTTGGGCTGCAATTTCAGAGGCTGGTAACTCTAATGAACTTATCCTCTGCTGCAGAGGTAACTCTGGGTCTTCCATTCCTGTGGCGGTCCTCATGAGAGCCAGTTTTATCATAGTGCTTGATGGTTTTTGCGACTGCGCTTGAAGAAACTTTCAAAGTTCTTGAAATTTTCCGGATTGACTGACTTTCATGTCTTAAAGTAATGATGGACTGTCGTTTCTCTTTGCTTATTTGAGCTGTTCTTACCATAATATGCTTGGTCTTTTACCAAATAGGGCTATCTTCTGTATACCACCCCTACCTTGTCACAACACAACTGATAGGCTGAAATGCATTAAGAAGGGAAAAAAATCCACAAATTACCTTTTAAGGCACACCTGTTAATTGAAATGCATTCCAGGTGACTACCTCATGAAGCTGGTTGAGAGAATGCCAAGACTGTGCCAAGCTGTCATCAAGGCAAAGGGTGGCCATTTGAAGAATCTCAAATATAAAATATATTTTGATTTGTTTAACACTTGTTTGGTTACTACATGATTCCATATACAGTGGGGAGAACAAGTATTTGATACACTGCCGATTTTGCAGGTTTTCCTACTTACAAAACATGTAGAGGTCTATAATTTTTATCATAGGTACACTTCAACTGTGAGAAACAGAATCTAAAACAAAAATCAAGAAAATCACATTGTACGACCTGTTAGTTTTTCTTTAAGAAGCCCTCCTGTTCTCCACTCATTACCTGTATTAACTGCACCTGTTTGAACTCGTTACCTGTATAAAAGACACCTGTCCACACACTCAATCAAACAGACTCCAACCTCTCCACAATGGCCAAGACCAGCAAGCTTTGTAAGGACATCAGGGATAAAATTGTAGAGCTGCACAAGGCTGGGATGGGCTACAGGACAATAGGCAAGCAGCTTGGTGAGAAGGCAACAACTGTTGGCGCAATTATTAGAAAATGGAAGAAGTTCAAGATGACGGTCAATCACCCTCGGTCTGGGGCTCCATGCAAGATCTCTCCTCGTGGGGCATCAATGATCATGAGAAAGGTGAGGGATCAGCCCAGAACTACACGGCAGGACCTGGTCAATGACCTGAAGAGAGCTGGGACCACAGTCTCAAAGAAAACCATTAGTAACACACTACGCCGTCATGGATTAAAATCCTGCAGCGCACGCAAGGTCCCCCTGCTCATGCCAGCGCATGTCCAGGCCTGTCTGAAGTTTGCCAATGACCATCTGGATGATCCAGAGGAGGAATGGGAGAAGGTCATGTGGTCTGATGAGACAAAAATAGAGCTTTTTGGTCTAAACTCCACTCGCCGTGTTTGGAGGAAGAAGAAGGATGAGTACAACGCCAAGAACACCATCCCAACCGTGAAGCATGGAGGTGGAAACATCATTCTTTGGGGATGCTTTTCTGCAAAGGGGACAGGACGACTGCACCGTATTGAGGGGAGGATGGATGGGGCCATGTATCGCGAGATCTTGTCCAACAACCTCCTTCCCTCAGTAAGAGCATTGAAGATGGGTCGTGGCTGGGTCTTCCAGCATGACAACGACCCGAAACACACAGCCAGGGCAACTAAGGAGTGGCTCCGTAAGAAGCATCTCAAGGTCCTGGATTGGCCTAGCCAGTCTCCAGACCTGAACCCAATAGAAAATCTTTGGAGGGAGCTGATAGTCCGTATTGCCCAGCGACAGCCCCGAAACCTGAAGGATCTGGAGAAGGTCTGTATGGAGGAGTGGGCCAAAATCCCTGCTGCAGTGTGTGCAAACCTGGTCAAGACCTACAGGAAACGTATGATCTCTGTAATTGCAAACAAAGGTTTCTGTACCAAATATTAAGTTCTGCTTTTCTGATGTATCAAATACTTATGTCATGCAATAAAATGCAAATTAATTACTTAAAAATCATACAATGTGATTTTCTCGATTTTTGTTTTAGATTCCATCTCTCACAGTTGAAGCGTACCTATGATAAAAAGTACAGACCTCTACATGCTTTGTAAGTAGGAAAACCTGCAAAATCGACAGTGTATCAAATACTTGTTCTCCCCACTGTATGTTATTTCATAGCTTTGATGTCTTCACTATTATTCTACAATGTAAAAAAAATAGTAAAAATAAAGAAAAACCCTTGCATGAGTAGGTATGTCCAAACTTTTGACTGGTAGTGTATATATCATACATATTTTTTTGTTGTAGTTGAAAACTTGGGGGGCCAAATAAAACCACCGGGCCGCCAGTTGGGGAACCCTGGTCTACCGCTTATCATGAGGTATTCTAACTCAGGCGAGCAGAACCTCGGGACTTTGCGCACCACCTGTTGTTAACAAAGAGACACACACCACCCCCCTGAGCTTATCCAACGCTGCCGTTCTGTCCTGCCAATGTATAGAAAAACCAGCTAGACTTAGTTTTTCCATGTCCTTGCTCAGCCGCGACTGAGAAACATAGGGTATTACAGTTCTTCTGATCACGTTGATAGGATAGTCTGGAATGGAGCTTGTCCAGTTTATTCTCAAAATATTACAAGTTCGCCAATAGTAGAGGCGGTTTATCCACTCCCCGACGTAGTCTCGTCAGGCCTCTAACGCCACCTCTTCCTTTGTCTGAGATGAGCAATATGTACTTCGCCTCCGAAGTAGAAATCCTCATCCAAATCGAGGTTAGTGATCGCTGTTCTGATGTCCACAAGCTCTTTTCGGTAATAGGAAACGATGGTGAAACATTATTTACAAAAAAAGTTAAGATCAGTGCAAAAAAATACTAAATAGCACAATTGGTCAGGAGCCCGTAAAACAGCTACTATTCTCTCCAGCGCCATTCCCCCCCCACCCACCATGATGTTTACCTAAGAGGCACACACACTCAAAAGCCATGGATGCATGTGTAAATGAAGCCCAGGTTGTTGTGATAATGAGGGAAATGGGAAATGAATCCTAGCAATGACGGTGGGTTGTACAGAGTGGTGTGTGTGAGAAAGATAGTGAGGGTTTAGGAAATTATTAGCAGGGGTTAAGTTCAAAAGTGCTAGGGGGGTGAAGGGGAAAACTAGATTGACTGTGTATTGTGTATTGTGGTGTAAAGTAGCATCGGGTCCCCTAGCAACCGGGAACTAGTTGCTTCTCTAGTTTCATCCTTTTCTTATTAAAACTATGAGGGGTATAATGCTTGTTTCGAGGTATTTGACACACGCACACTGGGGTGAATGTTGGAATGCGTAGAGGAGGGAATGAGGAGGAGAGGCTGTAGCCAGAGGTAACAGGAAGTACTTACTGTGCCCGGCTCTCGCTCTGTTCCCATAGCAACGATGACACAGCATCAAGGTGATAAGGTCACCAGGGCGCACATGAGGGAGGTGCAACAAAACACACAAAAAGAAAGAGAAAAAAGAAAAATCATCAATTAGAATCCAGAGCTCTGCACTTGTTTTTTTCAGTATATTAATTATTAACAAACCCAATGATGACACAGTCTTGTCAGTTCTATTCTGTCTGTCTGTCAAGTCTGTCTATGTGGGCGGGCCAGACAGGCCCAGTAACAGTGGGTGTGGCTGCTGCTCACCTCTCAGGTACTCGGCCTCTGACTGGTGTTTCTTGTCCTCTTTGCACACCAGGTGGTGTGGTGGTGCCGCCAGGGCACTGGACAGGGCGAGCAGGCTGGCCCCTCCCCCCAGGTGGGCTGGGTGGAGCCCCGCAGGGTGGGGTGTGAGAGGGACATGGGGGCCATGTGCGTGGGACAGATGCTGCTGCTACAGGAGAGAGAGAGAGAGAGAGGGAACAGCAATCAATTACTAATCCATAATCAATATGGCCTACCACTGGAAAGTGTGTCAATCAATACGACAAGCCATTAATACACAGATGGAGCAGAGTGATCAATGTGAAAATATATAGAGGAATTCATGACTCTTTCATCAAGAGCAGCTTTCAACGACGTGGCCTGCTTACAAATAATGTCAGAGGCAGTAAACCTCCCCCTCAACACACACACACACACACACACTGTTTCTCACACACACACGCAAACACCTCCCTCTGGGGTCAAACAATGAACAATAGTGACAGCTGGGATCACAGCCCAGAGCCTGAGGATGGAGGGAGGATACGAGAGGAGAAGGGGTTAGAGAGCTCCAGCTGCTGCCTGCAGGCCAGGGAGGGTGGGGGACTCTGGTGGATTGGGGGCGTTTAGCTGTCAGGTCTCGGTCTCTTTCACACCAAATCAGGCGTTCGTCTGAGCGTGAAAAGCTTTTGTGTTCCAAAACATAATTATTGCGTCTTCAGACAGTAGCCGCGGGAATCAAACTCCAGAGATTTGCCGCAGGGGGAGGGAGTTCTCAGTAGTAGAGTGGGGGAGGGGCAGTGGTGAAGGTCAACCCTCTTTATCTCACCTAATTGACTAAGCCCCCCCCCCCCTCAGAGAACCACAGGAAAGAGACGCCACAGCACTCTATCCCCATCTCCATGCTTTTTACATTTTTAGTCATTTAGCAGACGCTCTTATCCAGAGCGACTTACAGTTAAGTGAGTGCATACATTTTCATACTGCAGGCCCAGTAACAGTGGGTGTGGCTTTCACAGCACTAATCCCTGCGCTTGCCCTCCAAAACACACACCACCCAAACCCTTGTTCGCTGTGCCAAAACAGCACAGCAAAGGACGCTCTCACACACACGGTGAGAGTCAATGGAGGGGAGGTATTGGTGGAGGCAAGGGGAGCCCTGTGTGTCAGGGGGTGTTAAGGTGTGGGCTATATTATGATGACATTTTGTGATGTTTTTGTTCATTTCAGCTGTTCGGGCACACTTCATATTTTCTGGAGGCAAGCGGAAGTTTGGAGCCGAAGTCTATGCCCCTTCGTCGCTGATTGGTCAACAGTAGGGATTCTTCAATAAAGTCTGTCGTCATTCAACGAGAGAAGACTCGTTTTCATGCACAATTTGTTTTGGGGAGAAATACTGCACCAAACATCTTACTTAGTTAGATGTAAAATTGTGTGACTAAGACCTCCTCGGCAAAAACGGCAAAATTAATGACGGATTTCTTTAGTTATCTTCGATTAATTCAACGGCGTCTCAAAATGGACAGAGTACTTCTGCCATTTTTTTTCTTATTTTACATGCGAAGGTCTTAAGGGAGTATGTGAGCACAGTCGTTCGGTTCGGCTAGCCAAGTTCGGCTAGGCGCCAGCCGAACTGAAGAATGCTGACGCCTTTAGGGTAAGCCGGAGGGGGAGGAGTGAAAGGGTGGCCATGCTTCATTACACTCATTTAACACACAAACAGGGTGACTGACAGCTTGGTGGGAGGACCAGACGCTCAAACCCCCTTTATACACACTAGAATCCTGCAATTAAGACTCAAAATGGCAACCGCCACCCCCCGCCACAGCCATCAAGCAAAGCCCCCACCCCCTCCAAAGCTTCCCAGAACCGTTGAGAAAATCCAAACAGCAGCCTAAATATCCAAACAGCAGCCTAAATATAATAATAATATAATATATACACACAGCAGATATTATGGTTGCAAAACAGTAGTAGCATATCCTTGGGTAAATAACTCTACATTTCAGTAATAAAATGTCACACACACCCACACTATCGCAGTACACACAAACACAGGAAGTTGTAGTAGAGAGTGCATTTACTGTGGGTGGTAGACCGGGAAGGCCACGTACCCCGATGACGGAGTTGAGTTCGCCCATGGTGACCTGCTTGGCCCTCTCCACTGCCTGGATCACCTGCTGTTGGTGCTGCATGGGTACACACACACAATACAGGGGAGTGAAAGGGAAGAATGAGAGAGGCTTACCTGTTTGTGCATTTCAATGTTCAGCCCGTAAGACATTTCATAGTAGTGTGGATACACACACACACACACACACACACACACCTACCTCCTGTGAGAGGAAGGGGATGACTTGTGCACAGATGGTATTGAGCCTCTTGGCGATCTCTGTCTGTTGGATAGAGTACAGGATGGATAAGTATGGGCAGTGTCAACAGCACCAGAAATAGCCTAGCAGCTACAATTAGCATGCACAGAGATCCAAAGGGATCCTGATTGTATTTACATTTTAGTCATTTAGCAGATGCTCTTATCCAGAGCGACTTACAGTTAGTGAGTGCATAAATGTTTTCATACTGGCCCCCCGTGGGAAACAAACCCACAACCCTGGCGTTGCAAGCACCATGCTTTACCAACTGAGCTACACAGCTAGTATGTTCAGGTCAACTCCACCTGGGGTGTATTCATTAGCGCACACCATAGCAAAACATTTTGCAACGAGAAAAGGTTTTGCAATGAAAATGAGAGTTTCTTATTGGACAAGTTCAGGCATGTCCCTCCCAGTTTCAGCCTGGCTTCCGAGTACACCATAGGTCAACTCCACCTGATATCCCCATGTATGTGTGATGCTGGAGAGTTACTGAAGGATAGGCAGACATCTAACTGCTCTTAGGAGCAACTGATGCTATCTGTCATGACATGGGCTCAATGCACACAACACATATTAGTCAATATGGGTGTGAATGACTCCATTCACAATTAACTTGGGGGAGAGAGGGCTAGTTAACAGCTTGCTGCCACAGTTCACAGAAAACACATGCAGTTGCGCGCATACACACAATCGAGCGCACCACAGGCATGCGCACGCAGTCACACACATAGGTGTGCAGACCAGAGCATGTGAGCGGAGTGGAGGTTGAGCGGTCGGAAATCCAAGCCGTGCGCCGGCGCACCACATCCTTTCCAACCACTCCGCTAAAAGAAATACTCCTCACTCACAGGGAAAAAAACTGCTACTCCAAATTCGCTCCATTCATTCAAATTAAAATCACAATTTAACCAACACCAATCTATTTTTGTGACTACCTGGACCTACCATTTGGTTTTGAAGTATTGAAACCAAACCATATGATTTGAATGAAAAGTATTTTAATAAACAACATGAAAAAGGTGACAGTAAGAAGCGGTCATCATTTCAAATAGGCTACATGTCATATTAAACAGCATATAAACACTCAAAAAATAGGTCGGGAACCAGACATGTAGCCAAAGAAGGAATGAAAATGAATTATACTGAATAAAAATATAAACGCAACATGTCAAGTGTTGGTCCCATGTTTCATGAGCTGAAATAAAAGATCCCAGAAATGTTCCATATGCACTAAAAGCTCATTTCTCTATACTTTTGTACACAAATGTGTTTACATCCCTGTTAGTGAGCATTTCTCCTTTGACCAAGATAATCCATCCACCTAACACGTGTGGCATATCAAGAAGCTGATTAAACAGCATGATCATTATACAGGTGCACTTTGTGCTGGGGACAATAAAAGGCCACTCTAAAATGTGCAGTTTTGTCACACAACAATGCCACAGATGTCTCAAGTTGAGGGAACGTGCAATTGGAATGCTGACTACAGGAATGTACACCAGAGCTGGTGCCAGAGAATTTGAATGTTCATTTTTATAACATAAACAACGTCGTTTTAGAGAATTTGGCAGTACGTCCAACTGGCCTAACAACCACAGACCACGTGTAACCACGCCAGCCCAGGACCTCCACATCTGGCTTATTCACCTGCGGGATCGTCTGAGACCAGCCACCCAGAAAGCTGATGAAACTGCTGAGTATAATCATTCTGATTGGCTGGGCCTGGTTCCCCAATGGGTGGGCCTTGCTCCCAAGTGGGTGGGTCTATGCCCTCCCAGGACCACCCATGATTGTGCCCCTGCCCAGTCATGAAATCCATAGATTAGGGCCTAATTAAATGTCTTTCAATTGACAGATTTCCTTATATGAACTGCATTTATATTTTTGTTAAGTATATTTAGGCTATATTATGATTAGCCTATTTCAATTATTTCAAGGCTATAGCCTACAAATAAATAAAATTGTGAAGCATTTGCAAGTGCGACACACTAGGCTGGCATGAACATTAAGCGCTCAGCATTTAAACAACATTTAGTTGTATTGAAGTATTATAGTCTATACATGCATACTCTATAGGCTGTGACTTACTTAGAATTAAATAACAATTAAACGAAAAATGCTTTATTAGGCCTTTGAATTCACTTTTAGAAACACCAGTTTGGCCAGAGTCTGTGGCTTCAGGCTCATGCGATGGTGCCTGGAGAGCAGGCCAGCAGTGGAGAAGACCCTCTCTGCTCTTGCAGAGCTACTAGGGATGCTAAACACCCTTCGGGACACTCTTGCCAGGCTGGGCAGGGATGCGGAGTTGTTTTTTTATTTTTCTATAGGTAGGCCTTAAGGTTTTTAGGCAAAATAACCCTATCAAAACAGAAAGCTCCTTGAACGAGGTAATATGACAGCAGGCCTAGTAAGACATAGTAAGTACACCATCATGCTTTCGGGATACATGTATTTTCAGATTCCACAATGACTCTGTAGTTGTGGACACTACATCACCACACTCCCTCTCTTGCTCTTGGTCCTCCTCATCTTTGTAGGTCACCTTGATTTTGCACCGGCGTATTTTATCAATTCCTTTATGAAAATATTTAGTGGAGCAGAATTGGAGCGGGCGAGAAGGCCGACGCTCCAGACTTTGGGAAACTTGCTCCGCGCTTTAGTCAAAATGGGCACGCTCCGCTCCTAGCGCCACTCAAGCTCCGCTCACACACTCACAGCAGTGAATCAGAGAGAGGCTCCCACCTTGCTATCATGTCAGCCTGAGATTAGGTTTCACCCTGTGCCTCACTCTTCTGTTCTTCCATTCCCATCGGCTCTTAAAATAATCTCATCACTCCTAATTTCATTTGGTCCCACTCTCATATCCATGGCCAGGCATCCGGCCCTCGGGGGTGACTGCGATTGGCTGGATACCCTATACCCCCACGGTGGCGGCAAATCAGATGATCCAGCTCAAATTACATATCGGCCAAACAAATTGATACAAGGCGGGTCAGGGTACAGGTGAAACTAGAGGAGCCTCTGAATGCAGTAATGGGACATCACTCAGACACACGCACAGACAGACACACAAAGCCCATTTTCCTTAAAAAATCCAGGCCCAGGGGCCGTATGTATCAAGCTTCTCAGCGCAGGAGTGCCGACCTAGGATCAGGTCCCCCCTGTCCATGTAATCGTATTCATTGTGATCTAAAAGGCTAAACTGATCCTAAATCAGCACTCCTCCTCTGGGATTCTTGATACATATGGCCCCAAATCTCCATAACATCATATCCAAGCTGCACCAGAAGAGTACTTGCCACCCCTCAGAGCCTGGTTCCTCTCTAGGTTTCTGCCGTCTAGGGAGTTTTTTCTAGCCACTGTGCTTCTGCCTCTGCATTGCTTGCTCTATGGGTTTTTAAAGCACTTTGTGACAACGGTTGATGTAAAAAAGCTTTGTAAAATAAATTGGTTTAATTCCTCCAGCCAGTCTTCTAGCAGTCCAGCCATCGGCCCTGTCCTCATGTGACGCCCTCGAAAGCCCTGGCCTGACAGACTTATCATTAGCACACACACACCTGCTGTTGGCCTGGCTGCTGCCTAGCTCCTAGAAACACAGCAGATGACCTATAATAGCCCACTAGCCAAAAAAATACCTGCTTCTCCCACTGTGCTTTCCCAGAATGTCTGAGGGGTATTCTTAGCCAGCAGATAGGTGCTGCAGGCTGGGAACAGGCGGTGTCCAGTACACTACCGCTAAGCCCACGGGAGGGAGCTAGTTATGGGGAAACTAAGCTTCCTGAAGCACTGAGCATTTCCAGCCAATTGTCAAAAATAGGTTCATTACTTGAGGCTTTGACCAACACAGTATACTGTAGTGGCACCTGCTGGTCAAAATTTTTTGTTTGCCTTCTACCAAACCAATCAGGTGGTTGTTCGACAAAATGAAGCTTCGATTGTCATTGATTACGTGCTTCTGATAGAGTGACAAGCATCTGCCCACTGTTTCGAAGTAAACTGCTTAGCGATTTCAATGCATGAAGAATCGGAGCTCTGGTATCTAACGTAACATCACTAGAGGGAGCTAACGGGATTCATTAAGGGGCGGTTAAGGAAATCTACACGTGACCCAGAGCTGGAGGCCAAAGTGGGTCAGTGGCACTTACCTCGCCTGTGTCTTACCCAACTCAAACAAACCCAAACACACCCCAAAAGTCAGGCAGCATGGTGGTTATCACACATGCCAGAGGGTTACATTGAAAGGATCGCCTGTCGTCATTGAGTAGACTGACGCTCTTATGCAGAGCATAAGACTTACGATAAGTGTTCAACTAGGGTAGTAGGTGACAAAACTAACCACACATCGCAATCATGGCGAGTTCTCAAGTCATCAGCTAGGATATCAGTGATGGGGGGCCTTCAGGTCGTAGGTCAGAAGGCGTGAACTGAGCAACAGGGCCTGCCAGGTGGCAGAGAAAGTGAGCCCTACAGGGACTAGGAGGACATATGTTGAATTCCAGAACCACCCCTCTCTCTTAAAGATCAACTGCCCTTTAGAACCAACTTCTCTGGTTTGAAATGGCCTATGTGGCATCAATACGAGTCAGAAACATTCATTCTAGTGTCAAAATTGACTACAAAGTGTAAACAAAGTTTGGTAAGTGACTGTGTCATAACTTACTTGAGGGTTTGGTTTGGCTTACTTGAGTGCAATCGGAAAGTATTCAGACCCCTTTACTTTTTCCACATTTTGTTACGTTACAGCCTTATTCTAAAATGGATTAAATAAATAAAAAGTTCCTCAATCTACACACAATACCCCATAATGACAAAGTGAAAACAGATCTAGAAATGTTAGCAAATTTATTAAAAATCAAAAAACAGAAATACCTTATTTATATCTGGATTTGCTATGACACTCGAAATTCAGCTCAGGTGCATCCTATTTCCATTGATCATCCTTGATATGTTTCTACAACTTGATTTGAGTCCACCTAAATGGAAAAAGTTTGTAACCACCAAAACTCTTCCTAGAGCTGGCTGCTGGGCCAAACTGAGCAATCGGGGGAGAATGGCCTTGGTCAGGGAGGTGACCAAGAACCCGATGGTCACTCTGACAGAGCTCCAGAGTTCCTCTGTGGAGATGGGAGAACCTTCCAGAAGGACAACCATCTCTGCAGCACTCCACCTATCAGGCCTTTATGGAAGAGTGGCCAGACGGAAGCCACTCCTCAGTAAAAGGCACGACAGCCCGCTTGGAGTTTGCCAAAAGGCACCTAAAGGACTCTGACCATGAGAAACAAGATTATCTGGTCTGCTGAAACCAAGATTGAACTCTTTGGCCTGAATGCCAAGCGTCACATCTGGAGGAAACCTGGCACCATCCCTATGGTGAAGCATGGTTGTGGCAGAATCATGCTGTGGGGATGTTTTTCAGTTGTAGGGAGACTAGTTAGGATCGAGGGAAAGATGAACAGCGCAATGTACGGAGAGATCCTTGATGAAAACCTGCTCCAGAGCGCTCAGGACCTCAGACTGGGGCGAAGGGTCACCTTCCAACAGGACAACAACCCTAAGCACACAGCCAAGACAACGCAGGAGTGACTTCGGGACAAGTCTCTGAATGTCATTGAGTGGCCCAGCTAGAGCCCGGACTGAAACCTGATCTAACATCTCTGGAGAGACCTGAAAATAGCTGTGTAGCGACGCGCCCCATCCAACCTGACAGAGCTTGAGAGGATCTGCAGAGAAGAATGGGAGAAACTCCCCAAATACAGGTGTGGCAAGCTTGTAGCGTCATACCCAAGAAGACTTGAGGCTGTAATCGCTGCCAAAGGTGCTTCAACAAAGTATTGAGTAAAGGGTTTGAGAGAAAAAAATCTAAAAACCTATTTTTGCTTCGTCATTATGGGGATTGTGTGTAGATTGATGAGGGGGAAGAAAAAAATACTTAATCAATTTTTGAATAAGGCTGTAACGTAACAAAATGTGTAAAAAGTCAAGGGGTCTGAATACTTTCTGAATGCACTGTATGTCAACAATTCATGCCCCCTTTTGCCTATTGTGGCACTGTGTTTTCTGTGAAAAGACTGGGCGAGTTGGCTTTACATGGCCCGGTGCCCTGGGCAGGTGGAGGACCAATGGAATGGTTGAAAATGAGCAAGCCCCGCCGACTGGAACCTCTTCACCAGACAAGAGGTGTGATTAGTACTTGCCCTTGCTCAGGAAATAGCTACTCTATAGAAAATGGGCTTCCATAAAGTTGTTCAACAATCTTGGGCAGATGGCCAGGATATGGATTACATCTGACTAGTTTCTACTTGGGCTGTCAACGGTCAAACCTGAGACTGGTGTGTTGGTAAGTAACTAAGTTTTGTTCATAGCTAGCTAGCTACGTTAGCTAGCTAGCTACAGGTCATTTTTTGATAGGCTATGCCGCCATGATACTGTGATGTAACTAGCCAAATACATAGCCTCTCCCTAACGTGTAATGTGAGAGGAAGATTTTTATAGCCAACGTTGCACCTGAAGACAGGTTTGATCCCTGCTAGCTAACGTTAGCTAGCTTGCTCATGATCAAGCAAACCTGATGACATGTTTGATGCATGTTGGCAGCTTGCTTTCAATAATGTTTTAACTCAAACTGGCTAGCTACTGTTTGTTGTGATTGAATGGCAAAGACACCCACATCAAACTCTCGTTTGCCTTCAGTCATGGCCGCTAGCATTTCTTAATAAGCAATGATGAAAAACAAGGCCAAATCAGGAAGTGCAGTCGCCCTTTAACCCCCAGGCACTGCTGGTTCTGTAGTTCACCTGAGGACTGGATAGGCTAAACTTCAACCTATCAAGAGGGCAAGATGGAGCTAGACCTAATACCATACCAGTTCATGGAAGTCCACTCGATTCCGTTAGGATCTACGTAAAGTCCCTAGGAGTGAGTTCGGAATTTAGCCCCTTATGAGCAGGAGAATGGGTCTGCTCTCCACTCTCCTAAAACCCCATACACCCAGGCAGCAGAGACAGGGGCTCCAAGGCACAGGAGGTTGGTGCCACCTTAATTGGGGAGGACGGGCTCGTGGTAATGGCTGGTGCGGAATTGGTGGAATGGTATCAAATACATCAAACACATGGTTTCCATGCTTTTGATGCCATTTCATTTGCTCCGTTCCGGCCATTATTATGAGCAGTCCTCCCTCAGCAGCCTCCACTGCTCCAAGGGGAGGCCACATTAGCCTGGGGCTGGAGTGGCCAGAGCAACAGGCTACAGTGAGGAGGCAGCAGCGATACAGCACTCACAATACACCCCCCTCTGGAGACAATGAGCAGAAATGGCATCTTCCTCACAATAGGAGGCATGCATTAGTATCAGAAAGAGAGAGAGATAGAGCGAGAGATAGAACCCACATAATCCTTCCTCAGCAAACCACCCAGGCCAATCCACCTCCAATTTCCTCTGTCCTGACCAATCGATTTCTGTGGTAATTACTGGTAAATGCTGTGAGCCAGAGTGCTCTGGTCCTGTGGGGCAAACCTGCACGTGTGTGTGTATGCATGTATGTATGGAGGAGGAGTGCTCCTTTGCATTTCCTGGATCAAGGAGCTCCGTGATTGATTCCTATGCCTTCCCCAGCCCAGCCTCTTCAATGCAATAAAACAGGCTACTCCCCCAGACAATACCAATCAATCAGAGTAATTCATCCTGCCTCTGGGCTCGTACCATTGGGTCTAACTAGAGAGAAACAGAGCACCATCTATCATTGATAAACCCAAGTTCCCTGGCAGGCTAAAAGCTCATTCCCTGGGTGAACCCACACACACACTATAGATGAGAGATAGAGAAGAGAGAGTGTGAGGCTTACCTGTTTGTGCATTTCAATGTTCAGCCCGTAAGACATTTCATAGTACTGTGGATGACAGAGTTGGAGTTACTAGGATTACAGTATATTCCAATCTCAAAGTAGACTGCTTCTTGGCCATAAGAGAGATACGTGAATAATACTGCTGGTGTTTGAAAAGGACAAAACAACCTCAAAATGTGGTACTGACCCCAAGTCAATAATGTACTGGAAATCATTGAGCACAGAATGTGAGAGAGAGAATGTGCGTTTGTGCATGCTGGGTGTGTGTAGTCCTGTTCATGTGTGTGTGAGCAACAATAAGAGTTGACAGCAGGCTTGCATGTACAATGTGGCAATATATCTATCCACACACTGACAGTGTTAACATCTAGAGTTGATTTGATGAGAGTTGAACATAGATTGTGCTGATTGGACTCACCATAACATAGTGCCTCTGCATCTCTGTCTTCTCACTGGCCAGCTTCTCACACTCCAGTTTCAAACTGCCGAGGACAGGGACACAATCAAAACAAAGCAAAAGGCCTCAGATACCATCACCAATCCTGAACACATAACCAGAAAACATTCATAATTCAGTTCAGATAAACATATCTGCAGAGGGTCACATGGTCAGGAAAACCTCTTGGAATCATGGAAGAGCAATATTTGTTTGCCTTTTTCAGTAACAGAAGGTTATAGGTCATAGGGCTAAAATAGCAGCAGTATAGCCTACTGCCTTCTACTGTGATCATGCAGGATATTCCAGCTCTCTCATTTACCCCTCACTAGTCCCAAATACAGCAACATGCAGTTTCACACATAGGGAATAAGAGGGGATTTTGATAATCTGACCTCAGACACCACTCCTCTGGCTCAAGCACATCAGCATGGCTTAGACCTATGCAGTCTGAGCACACAAACTGTGACGTCTTGGCCTCAGAGTGTGTGTGTGTATGTTGAACAGCCACTCACCTGTGGTACTGGGCTTGGAGAAACTGGAACTCCTCTTTGATGCGGTCCAGTGACTCTGGGATTGTGAATTTGAAAGGTTGGCCTGGGGCCTGGTGGGGTGTCTGTTAAAAAAAACAAAATACCCATTTTACCATTATTCAAAACCTTTGTTTCTGCAACTCATTAAGCATTTAAAATACTTTAGATGTAGGCTAATTAGTAGTGAATTACACAAAAAGCAATGCAGCATTCGCTGCCAAGTGCGATATGCGCCTTGCCCTAATTACTGAGAGTGCATCATGATAAACTCAATACAGAAATGTTACAGGCCGACAGCCGCTTAGGCAATGACAAACAAAGGAACTTCGACCGACCCGCCATCGTGGGCTATACAAATGCGAAAATGGTTCAACATGACAAATGAGTGCAGAGAACCTGCGGATGGGAAATGCGTTTCACTGGCCGACCTTACCGGGTGTCGACCCTGGGGAAACATCGTTCTACCTCCGCAGATGCCCTGTTCCTGATAAACCCGTCTGCTAACAAAATAGGGACCGGCGCGGGGATGTTCCAGATTACGATAAATTCATCCTAGCTCCTTCCGAGACTGTGCGTTAAATGACACAACAACGTCCGACCATTTGTCCTCCTAGATCTCCGGTCAACTCTTTATCAGCGGTGCTCCAGCGAATGATGCGTGTAAGAATCTGTTTCTCTTGCTGTAGGCTACTCCAGTATACGATCATGTATCGACCATAGAAAAGGGAGAAGAAAACAGGTGAGGACAAAAAGAGTAGCGTACTAGTATCCCTATTTATGTATACTGTGTGATCCTGTCCACGCAGCAATATCCGAATAGCCCGAAACTCCAGTTATAGTCAACAAGCCAAACCCACAACGCGGTCATGAGAAGCGTAGGCTACTAGAACAAATCCACAGAAGTTAATTGCAAAGTAGAGTTCCCACTTGACTTGCGGCAATAGCTTGTGGTGAATGCTCAGCATAAATTAATATTCGTTATCCGAAGAATAAACTGTATTCGATTAAACGTGAGATAGGGGGGTGGGGAAGAATGCAGTCCAATAAAGGTTTCGTAAGGGGGAAATGTTGTTAGTTTTGATAATAACAACCCCAACTATCAGCACAACGAAATGTAGCTTTGCCTCAAAGGCAACTTTCTCACGAGGTTTCAGACTGAGGGAGTTATATTAACCTGAGCCGCGGTGCGCCGATTTATGGTCCGTGACGTGAACGGGCAAAAGCAGTGAGGAGCGCAATTCTCAAATTGAACAGTAATCTGCGCCGCTCGGTCAAATTGTCAACAAGGAAGCATCGTCCATAAACATACATCTATTTTCCATAAAATATATGTTCGAATTTTCTAACGAGTTTTCATTGGGAAGGTAGATAAAGCGTTTTTTTCAAAAGCAAATAAGCAATCACTTTTGCATGTCAAAACACAGAATCCTGCTCTTTACTCCAAGTGCTTAATCTAGCCTAGGCTACTTCACTTTTGTTTTGAACCAATTTAGCCGTGGGCTTTGAATGGGGCATCTGGCTCACGCCCGGAGGTAGCCCAGTTCCAAAACGAATGCAATCAATTTTCACCCAGATTCAAACTCCTCTCACTGGGAAAGCCAGGGCCAGATAATCGAATCCCCCCCCCCCCCCCCCCCCCCCCAGTTAACCAGAAAAGGAACTGCCCCCGAAAATGTGCACAGGCCAATAGGAATTGTCTTTCCACGTGGCAAAATGACGCGATATGTAGAATCCAGCAATAGATTTTCTTTAAACGCATTCAAGCCTGTCGATTATTTTGAGCTACACAGACACCAGCCAATCCCGAATGTCGGATAGGTTTCGCGAGGAGTGGCGCGCAAGGCAGCTAGTGTACTGAAGAGTGACAGATCTCAGCTGTCAATCAAAGTAACGTGGTACCGTTAAAGGTCCTTAAATGCGCGATGACATCACGAATCCCCATCAGACCAATTCCCTGAACGCCCTACTACTTGAAGTTTGCAGTTGTGTCTAAAAAAACACTGTTTTGTTCAAAACCTTTTTTAATCCTTTAGTGAGTACTTTACTTCAACAGTAAAAGTTCAAAAATTGCTGGAAGACGCCTTTAAAGACACACACACACACACACACACACACACACACACACACACACACACATACAAATAAACTATTCAGCTCCGTATTTCAGTCTCCACTTAAGAAGCATGCAAGCTGTCCTGTCAGCATTATTCCTTGAATATCAGGTGTGTAGTCAGTATAAAATATCCATTGTACATAGAATCAGCTAGAATAGCACAGAACATTGAACAGCATTAAGGGCGAATATACTGTAGCCATAATGGGAGGCTATACAAACACGCCTGGTGCCCAAATGGATGACGTTTATCCAGAGTCGAGTGTGGGGGCTGGGTGGTAACTATTGACGAACCCCTTCCTGTAGCCCGGTTGACAAAGTGAATTCGTTGACAGGGCTGGGTTCCATGAGGGAGGCGAAAATAAACATAATTTACTTGGTGGGGATAAAAACAACAATAGTATAGAATAACAAGTTGTGGTCTCAAGTTTTCTCTGCGGTCTTGAGGGAAAGGGAAGATGGCAAGTACGCCTGAATGGTTGTCAGACTTGGAGATGGAGTCAGAGGAACCCATAAAGGTTGGTAAGAAGGCTGGCAGGAAAGAAAGGAAGAAAGGGGAACATATTAAGAGTGCTGCAGAAGGAAATTGAACATGACGAGAGTGAGGATGAATGAACTGCTCTGGCAGGTGCGGTGAAGACCGCCGGGTTTGAGCCCCGTCCTGATGGTGATGGCCCAGTGGGAGTGAGATTTTTGGAGAATGGATCCTTGCCTTCTGGCTGATCCATATGTGGTGTCAGGTTGGGTGGAGAAGAAGTTGGGGAATGTTGGGTCGGTGAAAGTGACTCGAAGAGGAATTGTTTAGATTTTGTTGCGTTTCTGTCATCCAGAGGGAGCGTGCGCTCCCCCCACACGACTGGGGACAAGAACTGTGACTTGCTTTCCTCTCAGGGCGCCGTTGAAAAGAGTCAGAACTGGAGTGGCGTTAAGTGTTGAGGAGGGTCAACTGAAGTTGAAGATACCTGGTGTCTGTGATGCCCGCTGTTTGGTGCAATGCAGACCCAGTGGAGAGAGTGGTGAAAAAGAGAAGACACTGTCTGTACTACTGAGTTTTGATGCAGAGACTTTACCAGATAAAGTCAAGTTAGGATGTGTCAGTTATCCCGTGAGAGCTTTTTTCCTGAACTCATTACGGTGTTTTAGGTGTCAAGCTTATGGTCATGTGGCAGTAGTGTGTAGGAGGGAGATTCCTAGATGTGAGAAGTGTGTAGGGGGACATGAGACCAAGGAATGTGTAGTAAGTATTGGTGGAAAAAGTTGTGTGTAAACTGAAGGGGTACCTATGGTGCTGGAGATCAGAGGTTGCCAGGATCAGAGTAGTAACAGGGTAGTGCAGAAGGTGTCGTATGCTGAGGCAGTGAAGAGAGTAGTAGAGGAAGATGGGTCCAGGGCGAGGGATCCTAAGAGGATCCCTGTGAGTTGGCCGAGGCCAATAGAGAGTGATAGGAATAACGTGCTTCAGTAAAAAAAAAATGATGCCGTTCATGGCCATGGTTGTCAACTGTACCGCAGGAAAGGAACGTAAATCACAGAGGATAGATGTTTCTTGTTAACAAACTATAATTTTGGAAAGTCGGTTAGGACATCTACTTTGTGCATGACACTAGTAATTTTTCCAACAATTGTTTAAAGACAGATTATTTCACTTATAATTCACTGCATCACAATTCCAGTGGGTCAGAAGTTTACATACACTAAGTTGACTGTGCCTTTAAACAGCTTGGAAAATTCCAGAAAATGATGTCATGGCTTTAGAAGCTTCTGATAGGCTAATTGACATCATTTGAGTCAATTGGAGGTGTACCTGTGGATGTATTTCAAGGACTACCTTCAAATCCAGTGCCTCTTTGCTTGACATCATGTGAAAATCAAAAGAAATCAGCCAAGACCTCAGAAAAAAATTGTAGACCTCCACAAGTCTGGTTCATCCTTGGGAGCAATTTCCAAATGCCTGAAGGTACCACGTTCATCTGTACAAACAATAGTACGCAAGTATAAACACCATGGGACCACGCAGCCGTCATACCGCTCAGGAAGGAGACGCGTTCTGTCTCCTAGAGATGAACATACTTTGGTGCGAAAAGTGCAAATCAATCCCAGAACAACAGCAAAGGACCTTGCGAAGATGCTGGAGGAAACAGGTTCAAAAGTATCTATATCCACAGTAAAACGGGTCCTATATCGACATAACCTGAAAGGCCCCTCAGCAAGGAAGAAGCCACTGCTCCAAAACCTCCATAAAAAAGCCAGACTACGGTTTGCAACTGCACATGGGGACAAAGATTGTACTTTTTGGAGAAATGTCCTCTGGTCTGATGAAACAAAAATATAACTGTTTGGCCATAATGACCATTGTTATGTTTGGAGGAAAAAGGGGGTTGCTTGCAAGCTGAAGAACACCATCCCAACCGTGAAGCACGGGGGTGGCAGCATCATGCTGTGGGGGTGCTTTGCTGCAGGAGGGACTGGTGCACTTCACAAAATAGATGGCATCATGAGGAAGGAAAATTATGTGGATATATTGAAGCAACATCTCAAGACATCAGTCAGGAAGTTAAAGCTTGGTCGCAAATGGGTCTTCCAAATGGACAATGACCCCAAGCATACTTCCAGAGTTGTGGCAAAATGGCTTAAGGATAACAAAGTCAAGGTATTGGAGTGGCCATCACAAAGCCCTGACCTCAATCCTATAGAACATTTGTGGGCAGAACTGAAAAAGCGTGTGCGAGCAAGGAGGCCTACAAACCTGACTCAGTTACACCAGCTCTGTCAGGAGGAATGGGCCAAAATTCACCAAACGTATTGTGGGAAGCTTGTGGAAGGCTACCCGAAACGTTTGACCCAAGTTAAACAATTTAAAGGCAATGCTACCAAATACTAATTGAGTGTATGTAAACTTCTGACCCACTGGGAATGTGATGAAAGAAATAAAAGCTGAAATAAATAATTCTCTCTACTATCATTGTGACATTTAACATTCTTAAAATAAAGTGGTGATCCTGACTGACCTAAGACAGGGAATGTTTACTAGGATTAAATGTTAGGAATTGTGAAAAACTGAGTTTAAATGTATTTGGCTAAGGTGTATGTAAACTTCCGACTTCAACTGTACGTCTAGATACGTATACCTTATCCGTAGATACGTTTAAATACTTATGCTTGTCGAAATTAGTAAGTGACGTAAGATTCCATCTGTGCTATCCAGTTTAGAGTAAACAGGAAGGTGTGTTCCAGGCAAACCCCAACTGTAGAACGCTCCCTGACGTTTTCATCAATGACAGACAGGGTAGATATTGACATGACATGATCACAATGTCACTTCATATCCCTCGCAAACCACTCTC